TCTGACCTCATTCAATCTGGCTCCAATTGTACTTGTTTCATTTCCTAGCTTCTTATGTCACAGCTGGTTGAAGAATTTGATTAAGTATGTTGTATTGACTGTCTTCCTTTGATCTGATTTATTTCTTCATGAACAGTTCCATTCAGTTAGTTTAAAGCCGTCTGTTCAAGTGGTTTCCCTATTTTGGGAACTTTTAGATCCTATGTCTATTATTAATGATTTAGAATTTTTCATTCTACGTGTTTTGGTCTAAATTCCTTAATATGTGGAGCACAATGACAGAAAAGTATGAGGATTAAATATAAACTTAGATGGATTCAAATGGAACCACAAAAGTTAAGAAATTATATTAGCCTGTCCCAAGGGACAAATAGAGGAAGAGCCACTGAAACCAACTTCCCTGTTAGCATTATGCTCAGAACACTTCTTACCAGATGCCTATAACTCTTGACCGGTTCCTGAAAATTGAGAAAAAGGCTAAGACTGACACAAAAATGTAAGAAGCTAGGGAAAAGCAGTAATAAAATTACTAAAAAAAAAAGAAAAAAAGAAAGGCCACAGAAACCAAATGCCAAGGAGAAAATTTAATTAACTGATTTGGGATCGACCGCCACCAGCCAGGAGAACACTAATCTACCCATTCCCCCTTTGTCCATTTGAGATGTGTGTATCTCAGTGCACATCTGCACATGCACATACCAGCATTATTTGAGTGAATTATAATTACAGATGGAACTTGACCATGCTTACCTATCAAATGTTCTATTTTCTCCAACCTCATCCGCCCAAACCCCAGGTTGTTTATCATGGGAACTTTAATAAAAGACCATAGAACACTTCACCCTGCCTGGAATTTACCCTTGGTACCTATCAGTCTCTAAACTGGAGTTGATTTGAACTCTTTTCAAACAGATTTTTTAAAACTTGAATTAAAAAGAAAGGGGAGGATAGACAAAGTCTACAGTTGAGGAGCGGGGGAAGAGTTGAACAAAAGGCGTTTTAAAAAATCATTGATTTTCTTTGAAGGTTGATTTAGCAAGAGACCTAGCCAGCTGCCTGTAATGAAAGTTAGTGGACACCTGGCTTGTTCTGAAGTGGCTGCAGGTAGTGATGATGGCCTTTTTGCAGTGGAAACTGTGTGGCCTCCTGTGTTATCAGCCCTGTGCTGTGGTGTTGCCAACTGATTTCTCCAATTCTCTTTTCTCAGTGGGCTGGAACGCAGCTGGTTAAATAAGCCGTGACTCACATAAGCTCTTGTGTCTTTTTTATTGACTGCTTTATGGAAATGTATCACACTCCAAAGGGTCCCCATTGTTGTTGCTTGCATAGCTGACTGGGGAGTCATGTGTAGCACTAAGAGATGGAATTCTGCCCTGTCCTTTTATTATTGCAGAGTTGGGTATGGGTGGGATACAAGGGCTTAAAGGAATCTGGATGAGGAGAAAGGGTTGTCTGAGAATTTGTTTTATCTTCATCTGCCATGGAAGTTGGGTGGCCATCACTTTGGTAACACACTTCTCTGTTGATCTTATCTTTATGGCCCCACATCCTTCAGCTAAGGGAATCTTTACTTTATATGGGCTATTCTGAGAGATTTAGTTAAGTATATTGGTGGAGAGAAATTATGACACTAATGTAATTCTGTTTTGTGCTGATATAATCTGATGTACTCTCTAAGGTTTATCCAAGAGGGCCATTTATTCCTAATAAATCTGAATCATTCCTATTTTTTCATTATAGTGGTGATACCTTTTTTTTCAGGAAATGGAGAAAAAGCCTCTATATTTTTATTTTTTTAATTGTATACTTAAATATCAATGCTTTTGGCTTAAAATAGTAACCTACACAACAGTTTGTGGCTTCTTGCTATTTTTATTATCATCCTACAAAGCACTTACATATTTTCAGTCATTCACCAGTAGGTGTGGATTCAGGCATACAGACTCCTCCTGCCTTGTCACCCCACAATGTGCCTTACATTGCAGATTCTCAGCATCACTAGTTTTTGATCACTAGGACCCTGAGCTGACACTGAAAGCGGAGATAAGTTGATTGTCACAATGGCTTACAATTTTGGTTGTCTAAATTTATTTAAAGAATCATAGAGCTAATGAGATTGAGCTCAGAGTCAACTCTACATTCACATCAATTCTGTTATTGTACTCATCAAACAGTGCCTTATCCATAGTTGTTGTTGTTGTTATTTGCCGTGGAGTCGGACCCGACTCATAGCGACCCCTCCTTGGGTTTCTGAGGCGTTATCACTATGGAAGTAGATTGCCCAACTTTCCTTCCAAGGAGTGGCTGGTGGGTTTGAACCACCAGCCTTCTGGTTAGCAGTCAAGTGCCTTAGGCATTACCCTACCAGAGCTCCTTTTTATCCATAGTAGACAATCAATAAAATAGAGATTGATTTGATTTGATTTCCTAATATTGTTCCATAGCCACAAATTTTACCTATAATTTCATTTTCCCACTTCTATGAAGGGAACCAGGCAAGAGAGCTAAGTCCACCAGTACAGATTCCCTCTAATGGGTAAGGAAGCAAAATAACACATCTTACTCACTACGTGCAAAAACAAAGCATATTTTTAAAAACAAAAACAAAAACCTATTTCCAGCCATATTACTGTTCAGAATCCTGTTGGTGAACCACCAAGAGACAAAATTCAGTGCCCAAGTTTAGCAAACCAAGTTTGGCTTTTGGGACAAAAGGTAGTGATGGTGCTGTCCCCAGTATCCTGGAATTAGCAACTTGGAGTTCAAACATCTCTGCTGCATTATATCTTTGTTTTCTTGGTGGCGGCATTCTTGGGTTTCGGTTGGAGGGGAGAAAAAGCCTCATGCTGATAATGTACTGAAAGTAAATGAAATTAAATAAGCGAAGCAGTGCTCATCACTACTTCCTTCCCCCCTGGGTAATTCAATTCAAGCTCTCTCTCTGATGGCAACTCACAGGGGCTGTCTCTGTCACCCCGCTGGGGCCTAGAGTCTTAACATCTAAATAAAAGTTTCACTCAAGCATTTTTTATGCTCCTGCCTGCAGGATCAGTGAGCTGGTGTGGGCACGTTAATGTAATATTCATACTCACAGACTCTCCCCGCACACAAGGCTATGTCTTCCCATTTTCATAATTATAGATGTTCCATAAAATGGCATTTAGATTTGCATTAAAAAAGGAGGTTTGAATTCTAATAAAACGTTTAACATGTCTTTTATGATTCAGACTATTGGCATTTTTAGCAGGAAGCTATGTCTTTATTTTTAACAAGACCTTAAACAACAACAAAAAAAAGTGGGAAAGAGGAGAGGAGATAGAAACCACAAGCTTTGAGCGTTCTGGTTTTTTATCCCCTGTGACTTTCATTTAATTTTTAGGCCTCTAGGAGCAAGTTTTTAACACTCACAGCTTCAAAGTATGGGTTTTCCTTCAAAGGGCCTTCTTACCATACCAAGTCCTCACCCCATCCTGCAATCCCTTCAGCGCAATCTGTTCTTGTTTTCTTGGAGGGTATTTTTCAGAGCAATATTAGAATTTTCAGAGAGATATTAGAAAGAGTGGAAGAAATGAAAGAATCCTAGAAAAATGAACTTTCCTTTGCTGCTGTTCATCTCGTTTGGGTACCCTGAGACCCATCTGGGAGGATTTATGGCAGCCACAGAGTTGCTAACTGTAAAACACACAAATGAAAATAGTCCATGAACAAGAAGTTGACAATAAGGACAGATTGGATAAAGAATCAGGCACATAGACGTGCTATAAAATAAAAAAGAAGCCCTTCCGATCTACATTTTAGAAATTAAGTTGAAACAGCTAGGAGCAAAAAGTAATTTTAGTTGCCTTTTAAGTTGTCTTAAATGTTATCTAAAAAAAAAAAATGTCAATTACTGTACAAAGTGCCAGCTCATAGCCACAACTGAATAAATGTTAGTTATTTAGGTGTTCAATGAACAGCTAAAACATTTTCACCCCAAATTCTCACAATACTGTATAAATGACCTAGTTGATTCATACATCATTATGCCTTAATATATTTTGTTTTCCAAAATCTTAAGGCAAACCAAAAGAAATTGAGTTTGGGCACAAAAAAGAATAAATATTAAGACTCTGCTAGCTTATTTGCTTCATTTTTCCAAATTAAGTAATGTAGAGTTGCAACTTTTAAAGAGTTTGTTTTTTTGTTCTTGTTAACAGTTTTTTTTGTTTTTTTGGTTTTTTTTTTTTTTTGAGAAGTAAACGTCCTCTTTGCCTCTGTCCTTTGTCCCACCCTTCTGTAAAGTGAATATGAACCCCAGTGGAGGCAATGGATTAGGATGTGACTTCTCAATAAATTTGTACCTAATGAGGCTAACTGAAAGCCAAGAAAGTTAGCAGCGTTCAATTAAAGGCCAATATCAGATCCAGGGTCTTCTCTTTGTAAAGGCTTGTAGCACTCTTAGGCTCTTTCCTACACTTTGAAACTAGAATTTGGCAGTTATTGCTAAATTTAGTTTTGTGTAACTTAATATATTTATTTCAAAAAGGTGACTTTTCTTTCAGTTTGTTTGTTTGTTTGTTTGTTTTAAAGAAAAGAGCCTATGTTTATGGCTCCCTCTGAGGTGACTGTTTATGATGAAGTCTGTCACCATTAAAGTTTATCTGCACTGGCAGCTATTTGACTTTTGATTATCTGAATGTGGTTTATCCTATTTAGAGCTTACATCCACAGCAAATTCTTAATTCCCTAGAGTCTTTTTCTTGCCAATCAGTACATATTTAGGTTCCTCCCCACACCACAAACTAATGTATTTTTAGGTAATTTTAAGCGATTTTAGCATTAAATATAATTAGGAAGAAAGAAAATTAAGTTTTTTCAATCATAGAGAAATTGTTTCATGCTGTATTTAAGCAATTGCATTTCTGCACCCCTTCATTAAGGTACATTAAGGTACATAAGTAGCCTGAATGGATAAAAATTTTGTCAGATTTCAACAAAACATTTGCTCCTGTTTCTTTTAGGAATGGACGGTATCGTAAGAGGAGCTCAAAAACTTGATAACATCATCAAGCAAGGATATTTGGAGAAGAAAAGCAAAGGTACTGAGCAGACCTACAGATCTCAGAGCATCCCAGAAAAGGAAGAGAAACAAAAAGAAAGAGGACTAACTTACTGAGTGCTTTCTCTCTGCCCAACACTGTGGTAGGCAGGTATAAGGCAAAAGCCGAGGAAAGAAAATTAGTGTGGTGTTCGTGCATAGGCTGAAGAGAGATGGCCCAAGATCAGCATACAAGCTGTTTGTTAGCTTCATCAGAACAGAGACCGTCTCTGCCTTGCCATTGTAACCCCAGTGCCTGACACACAATAAGTATTTAATAATAATTGTTGAATAGATGAATGATGATACTCTTGTCCTCATCTCTGAGTATATTCCCATAAGAAGTGAAACTTTTCTACCAAGAATGTAATTTTTATATCATATGTGAAGCAGCCTACTTTCAAATTTCAGGCAAGCCCAGATGTGGACTTGTCTTAACTCATTTGGTTAGAATATGGTGCTACTAGGGTTGGAGTCCCAGATTTGACACTGATAGGCAAATTGGCTTAGCACAAAGAACACCTTTCTCGTGGCCGTGGCCTAAAGCATCATTTTTGTAAGATGTCATGGAAAATTTGAAAAATGCAGGATGAGACTAGAATCTGAAAGATATAAAGGAAGCCAGCCAGAGACACAGCTGTAAGGGGGCAGAACAGCAACCCTGTCTAGAACTTGGACCTTTAACTGAGTTAGTCTTCTGGACTCTGAATCAATATGGGATAACCTGTGGGAGTGAAAGGGAGGGTTTTACAGTCCATTAACCTGAGAAATAAAACAATAACACACTGGACTGTGTGTTGTTGGATTTTACAGACTCTTCAGTGATAATAGTTACCTGAATTTATGTTCCTGACTGCTGTTCTGTTTAGATCATAGTTTCTTTGGACCAGAGTGGCAGAAGCGATGGTGTGTTGTCAGCAGAGGCCTCTTCTACTACTACGCTAATGAGAAAAGTAAGTGTTCTTCATTTGCACAGCAGCGTCTCACTCCTGGATGCAAACACTTCGTAAATTCTCAAGCACTTAGATCTCAAGGTAGCGGTCCTTAACTAACATCCATAAAGGGACATGCTTGGGAAAGAAATAGGAACGGGTAAACACTACTTCCCCATCATTGAAAATGCACAGGTCTGTTTAGAAAGTATTTTCCCACTGAAAACTATGATAGTTCGGTCAGCATATCAGAGGGTTGTCTTTTATTATGACTAATAACAACATTATCAAATTTTAAAGAACCTCAAAACTCTTTATAGTCATTAATAACAGTTAAAATGTTGGAGAAAACAGTAACTCTGAGAAAGATTTAAACAGCTTACAAATGGTCCAGAAATAGACCCCTACAGTCCAGATTCTCTAAGAGCATGCTCCAAATGTTACTTTACTGACTACTGGGAAGTAGTCCAGTGGACATCCCTAGAGCCACGGAATGTTGAGACCCATATGGTTGCTATGCCCAGGAGACACCCTTCAGCCAGATGGCAGCAGCAGCGAAGTGTTGACTCAGGCCAGAGGCAGCTTCTTAATGAGCTTCCACTGACTCAATCAAACACAGCACTCCACTCCTGAGCTATCCCTAGAAGACCTCCCATCCATGTTTAACACAGTTGCTCAGTTGTCAAAATACAGGATAGGAACACAAATTGGAGGCAGCCACAAATAAATACAAACTAGAAATTATCATTGTGCTTGCAAAGTTTCAAATAGGGGAGACGCTTCCACAGAGTTGGACTGCTCGGTGAGTCATTCTGAGAAGCACGACAAAGTAAAGTGGACCATTGATTCTTAGGGGCTTTTCCTTCTGCTCTGCCATCTTTGTATAGAGACCAGTGATCAAGAGTAGACCCTTTTCTTTTAATCATTTTCTGTTCCTCCCCCCTCCTCCTTTCCCAAACTTACTCCTCTCCCAATGCCTACATTTCCAATGTTGTTGTTGTTGTTATTGTTATGTGCCGTCAAGTCGGACCCGACTCATAGTGACCCCTCCTTGGGTTTCAAAGCAGTATCACTACGGAAGTAGATTGCCCAACCTTCCTTCCGAGGAGTGGCTGGTGAGTTTGAACCGCCAGCCTCCTGGTTAGCAGTCAAGTGCCTTAGGGACTACGCTACCAGAGCTCATATGTAGGAACATCTTAATCAGACATCTGCCCAGTTGCCTTTAGACTCTCTGTACCTCTGGCACTAAGGCAGAAGAACTGCAGCTTTGCTAAGTGATTTGGGATCCTTAAGGTTGCCTTCCAGCTTTGTGGCAGTTGTCTCACCCTGCCTCTCTGCCTACCACAGGTGTCACTGGCGGCCTTCCTCAGGGTTCACCATCTTAGGTTCCTCAGAGTCTTTCCCACCTGGGGTAAAGGAAGAAGCCCTAGTTGGAAATGATAGCAGCATATTTGAAAACTGTGTAATAAGTCCCCTGTGTCTTCCAGCCCCTATCCCACTCTTAAATCCATCAACCACAATTTTTACTCTGAATTCCAGGCATGTAAGCACACCAGGTGTTTAATTTTAAATCTTTAATATGACATTTGTATCATTGTAAAAATATTCATCACTTCCCTTGCATTTCAAGAAGTGGTTGACATATCTGGATATAAGTCCAGATTTCACATCCATTCATTCAGAATCCTTTTACTCGTGGCAAGAGAGAAAAAGCAAGAGGGAGAGACTCAGAGACTTTTATTGACCATTTTGCTGTCAGGGTGAAATAAAATCTGGTGACCAAAGAAACAACAAAACACTTTAGCGGCCAGTTAGAACAAGGAGAGATACTTTAACAAAAAAGATTCTGGTGTCAGAAAGCACTGTTGCATGGCTCCCTTCTTGCCAGTTACTTCTTATTGTGCCCAGGACATTTTCTTACTAGGTATAGAGTGTTTGTGTATTTCTTGTTGCTCAACCAGGTGAAGACAGAGCCTTTTTCTTTTAATCCCACTGCCATCCTTATCATCATCATCAAAAAGCATTTATTTAACAATCCATTCCACATGATACAGATCACAGAATATCACCCAGATATTGTAGGTCCTGTCCCTTATGCATTCTAATGCCTAAATCACACGATGGGAACCCCAAATCCTTGAGAACTATTTCCTCTTTTCCTCTTTCTTATATTTTGTATTTTTAAAGGGATGATAGCAGAGAATGTTCTCCTTTCCTTCACTTGGAGTCTTTTTCATTTTATCTCCTTCCTTATCATCTAATGATACTTAACAGCACTCTGCTACTTCCCAATTTGACCTCTTGCAATGAAGATAAAATACTGAATTTTTAATTATACTCCCTGTAGCATAAATTCCCAACTGGCAGGAGAGCAGGGAGCAGTTAAACCCAAATGCTACATAGGGCATGGGGGGATCCTGGGAACCTTCAGTGCCCCCCACGCTGCTGTCCCTCCCCTCGAATGGGAGCTCTGCTGGCCCTGATAATAACACTTCAGCTCTATAATAGCCTTCAAGAGCCTCACGTTTACAGCCACACTCTCCCGGCTGTTCTTTCTGTTATTATAGATCTTAACATTCTAATAAATTCTCTGTCTCTGTTGTACTCTTTTGGCAAAATAACCTTTCATGTTGCATTTCCCGTCCTCGGCAGTGATATCTGCCTTGCTGTCACAGTCTCCTCTTCTTCAGCTTCCCTAATAACCTTTCCTTGACTATTGTGGTTCCTCAGGGATGGAACAGCTGTTTCTGTGCTTTTATTTTACATACCAGAGAAGATGCCTTCCCTTGACAGTTGCATCTCTCTAGGGATACAGAGAGCTCTCCTGTCTTGCAGGCAAGCAGCCCAAAGGGACCTTTCTCATTAAGGGCTACAGTGTACGGATGGCCCCCCATCTGCGAAGAGATTCCAAGAAAGAAGCCTGCTTTGAACTGACCTCACAGGATAGGCGCAGCTATGAGGTAGGATGAACTGAGGAGCTGGTGATCCTCATCAGTGTTGCATGGGAGCTGTGGTTGCTGTGCTGGATTGCACCCTTGCTTTGTTTCCTGCTCATTTCTTTCCAGTGAAGACCCTCTTGCTGGGCATACTCTCACCTTCTGCTGTGACATACGCTCCTTCTCCTCTCTGTGGCCACTCTCACCTTAGAGACTGACTTTGCTTGGCTTCCATCTCTTCCTCCTCCCTCCCCTTCTCAGTCTCACCCCATAGGTGAGATTCTTGTCTGTTATAGCACACAACCCAATTCCTTATTTAGCGGATCTCATTTCATGGCTTTAATTCCCATTCTCTGTATTTTTCAACTAGTCGTCTTCATTTCCTTCCATATTCCTTTTCATATTCATCTTGTCCAAAATAACCTTCCTGTACCTATCTATGTGTAGATGTACTGCATATCTCTGGAAGGATTTCTAAGATATTGATGACAATGGTTACTGAGTAGTAACAGTAGTAACTGAGGGACTAGAGCAGTGGGGAAGCAGGGACTAAGACTTATTCCTGCCTGTGTTCAGTTTTATACACTTTGAATCTTTACCTCTTACATTCATTATCTATTTTTAAATTAATTAAAACAATAAAAATGTATGACTATATGAATATAGTGGTTTTCACCCAAAGTATTTTTCATATATATATGTATGTATACATAATCATTCCTGCCTGTTAGTGATTTTTATCTTATCACGGTTTTATGAAAGTAATTTAGAAAATTTTAAGCTACCTATGAAAACCTTGCTAAGATTAATATTCATCACTCAGGTAGTCCTTTGACTCTTCAAATTTGTCTCAGCATTCATCCTTTTATGTTTCTATAGTTTCTTAACCTTTATTTTGTTAAAGTGACCTAAGTCTTCATTAAGCAATTTCCAAAAAAAAAAAAATTTTACCTCTTCTAGAGTCTTTTCTAGATGTATATAATAGAGATGTATGCATTGGGCATGTTGCCAAGTTATTTTTATTATTAAATGCTGATGGTTCCTCATCCAGATAAAAGTTCATATAGTAAGTCTAAAGTAATCTTCCTAGAACTTTTCAATAGAAATGTGTTTTTAAAAATATTAAGAAGGAGATTATGTATTAATATGTATTAAGCAGGAAGCTAGGTCCTTAATAGAGCATGTGTCTTTATCTTACCCTAATGACCAGATGATAAAAATGTTTTTTTAGTAACAGTTGTTTCAGGTTGACTCATTTAAAATAAAAGAATAACTAAAGGTTGATGCTTGACAGGCCTGTTTCGTGAATCAAAAGGTAGAGTTTGTTTACTTCTTCTTCTCTTTGGCCCGTTGAATCCGAATCGTTACCATGGTCTGTAGACTCTTCCCCTGCAACATCCTCTTATTTATTCCCACAGCCATCACAATAGTTAAGTCCCTATCACTTCACCCAGAGGACTAGTTTAAACAGCCTTCTAGTCAGTCTTCTGCCTCCAATTTCTTCCTATTCCAATCTCTTCTACCCGTGACTGTTGAAATAATCCTCCACTTCTTTCACTAAAATTTACAGTGGCTTCCTATTGCCTACATTTTAAGTCTGAACTCCTAGTACTCAGAGCCCTTCTATCAACTCTTCTTTGACCCTAACTCTCCAGCTTCATCTGTTATTATTCTGTAGTCAAGCAAATCTGCCTACCTTTCCCATACATGATGTTCTCATTCTTACTCTTTTGCTAATGGTTCTCTCTACCTGAAATGGCCATCGCCCTCCACCAGTCAGTTTCCACCAGTTCTTTTCAAATCTAACCAACACAATATTACTTCAGCAACCTCGCTGACTTAACTCTAGGCAACAGTAAGTGTTCCCTGTCTCCTTTCCACATCCAGTTGTTATCAGATGCACCTGTTTTGGAGTATTCCCATTTCATGTGTTAGGTTGTCTCCATCACTGATGCATTATCCTTTGAAGTCAGAGACTTTGGTTTGGTTTTGTTGTGGTTGTTGTTTCTGTACACCTTTCTCAAATAAATGCCTGATGAATAAATGGGTGAGATGAGTGAATGCACACACACAGTGTAACTCAAACAGTTGTCATGTCTGGATGTACAAAATTGCTGAAGGAAAAAATCATTTTCAAAAGAAGTATTTGGCTCTTTTCCTAAATAGTAAGCAGGCAGAAAACCCTGAGCATCTGATTCTGAAACGCGACTCACATCTTCCTCCCGTTAAACCTCCCCATCGTGATTCATGGAAATTTTAGTGAAGGTAATAAATTAACTCTCTTACTAATTTTCCTCTAGTTTACAGCTTCTAATCCAGCTGAAGCCAGAGACTGGGTGGAACAAATAAGCTTCTTGCTAAAGGGTAAGTCTCATTATTATAAGAATAATTCTTGAGTGAATTTGCATTCCAAGTTATGTTGCATAAATATAAATTACAGGCTTTAATACATATTTTTCTGCCCTTTCTCCTTTCTAACTTCCCCACCTCATCTCCTATATTATAACAATGAATAGTATCATGTATGAATCAGAAGGTAAAGAAATCATCAACCTGCCAATGACTTCTGATATCATTCTAACTCATCCACCTACCTGCAGGCAAGACTGAAATATTTGCAATCACTAGAAAAGAAGATGCTGAAACCCAGCTCAGCCTGATGCAGTATCTCCTAACCCCTTGTAGTCTGGAAAGGAAGTTCATGATATCAGATTTAAAGTCATCTAGTTGCAGTTTAAGTCCAAAATCATCTTTAGTCATGGTCAGAAAGAAAAATATAAATTAATCTCAGTGACCTTCAGAGCCATTGGATATTGAAAACAAACTGCTGTTTCCCAGCCCAAAAGAAAATGCTCCTTGCTTTGAGGTGGGAAGAGTCCTGCCTGATGATATTAAATGACTGCTCTCAGAGTACCCTCTGCTGGCCAGTCTGCAGACACAGTAGTGACAGTGGCCAGGAAGCATTGTCTGGGAATGGCCTGGCAGGTAGAAGTAGTCAGCCTTGAGTCTGTCACTCATATGTCATGTGGTAAAACCCTGCCTCCAAAGAAAGGTACGAACACCCACTTTTTATCTAGCCTGAGACCTACAGAGAAGATGTCATCCTAAAGACACCAAGCCTCTTCATCTCAGTTTTCTATTTTGCTGTAAGATTTCATTGTGGGTAAAAAGAAGGAAGCACCAGAGCTTTAATTACAAGAATTGCCTGTTTTACTCAGTTATGTTTTTGTGATCACAAAAACAAACTATTGCATCTACCAAGAGCGTTACATATAATGGACTGGAACTAGGCAAACATGAACATTGATGGCAAGACTACAGGGCACACTCTCATCTAGGTGCCTTGGATTTATGCGTGTAATATACCCCTAAGTGTGTAAACCTCAATAAAACTCAAAGCAGCTTTATTGAGCTGTACCCTGTGGTACTTTCAGAATCCCACATTGAAGAAATTATTCATTCCATTTTATTTTTAAACAAACAAAATAATAACATATGGTCTAAGCCACAAATGTATCTTTGATCCTTTCCTTATATGAGATGGCACCAGAATTCAGATGAAAATTGTCTCAGAATCTTTATTAAAAGCCTGATCAAGCCAAACAGTTTTATTGTATTTTGAAATGAGCATTGGATATCTCTACATCCTTTCCTTCCCCAGAGGATGCCAACTGCATTCGCCCATCCTGCCGAGGCCCCTCAGCAGAATTTCCAGAGCACTCTGTACTGCACATCAGAGAATGAACCTTCCCAGTTCCCCATTAAAATAAGAAACCAATCTCCCTCCCTTTCCCTGGTGTTCCCCAGTGCTGTGATGGCTTAACATCCTCTATGCAGTGACCCACTTTAAGGTCAGCCAGACTGAACAGTTGCAAAAGGACATTGTAAATACCTCATTCAGCCATGCCATTTGGTCTTGTATTACTATTCTGTTTTTCCATACTTCACTTTCTTTTCCTCTGCCACCTTTTCCCATTTTTCTCTTTACAAACAAACTTATGTGAAACTCTGCAGTGAGATTGTTGAGGAGATGGGCTTCTGACAGCTCAGATACCCTACCAAAGCCACTGTGCTTCCCACAGCTCTGTACCCTGGAGACCCACTGGCCATCACTCACTCTTCCAGTTTTCTACTTGACGAGCAGTGCATGGCATGTTGGCATTTCGTTTTCTGGCCTGTTCTCTCCCCTTCACCTCGCATTCTCATTCACACACCCATACTTTTCAGGGCTGCTTCATCCTGATCAAGTTTTATTGCAAGAAAGGATTTATGTTGATGGTTTAAACCTGACGCAGTGCTAGTCTGGCCTTTTCTGTAGATTTCCTGCCACCAAAGCCCGCATTAGAAATAACAGCACTTAACCTAGTGTTTCATTTTCTTTTGACATGTTTTATTTTCATCCCTCCTCCTCCTTCTCCCTCTTCTCTTCCCTGCCTTATTCTTGTCTTTCTCTCTATCTTGATTCATTCTCATCTTTGCCCTGGCAGATCTGAGCTCCTTAACCATTCCCTGTGAAGATGAGGAGGAAGAAGAAGAGGAAGAAGAAGAGATGTATGATGATATTGATGGTTTTGAGGGCCCAAATTGTGGTCCCCAAAGCAGATCTATTACCTCATCTGAGAGTATGGGGATAAAAGAATCTGTGGAGGAGAAAGAAGAAGAAGAAGATATTTATGAAGTCTTACCAGGTGAGAAATTTCCTCTTCTAATTGTCTTCTGCTACCTGCAGAAATTCTTGACCTGGTGGAAGAATATAACTTTGAAAACTCCAAAGGAAGCCATATCTAACCCTCACTTTCTCAAGGAGAGAATGTAGGGAAGCTTCAGGGGAACTTCCCTGATTCCTGGCAGAGAAGCTCTCCCTTGCCCTGGGAGCTGGATGAATTTGATTAATGGATGTCTTTCATCCATGCCATGTAAAGTAATTTCTTACACATGTGGACAAGGTTAGAGTCATGTTGGTTTTCATGGGTTTACTGTGAGTTTGGGATGAGTCATCCAAACTCTCTAGTTTCAACTTCTTGCCTTGTGTAATTGCGGGAATAATGGAGAGTTGCCTCAAAACCATGAAGGCTATCAAAAGTCTGTAGGAATATACGTAAATGCTGACAAACCTTTTAAGTAATACAGTGAAACCCTGATCAAGCACAACATATCATTACCTTGCTCAGATATACCATGAATCAAGTCATATCTCCTAAAAATGAACCTCACATGTTTTCTCTTCCCACCACAACAGCAGGTCTACTGAATATATTCCTTTTTCCCAGAGACATGATAACTGGTATTTCAAAAAACATAGTCATCACTGCTTCTGCATAGCCACCCCTTGTGGGGATAACAGCAGCTGGTGAACAGTACAAAGCACAGTGGGGGTCAGACTGTAGAAAACTGAAGCCTGAGCCTTTTAATTGTGAGGTAGTTAGACCACAGGAACGCTGAATCTTCAAGTCCATTCAGAAAGATCATTGCTGTGGAAATTTGCCAGGAGTTCAGTGCTCTGCTGAGAAATTCAAGTTAAGCCTAAATTTATAGCAATTTAAACCTCAGTCCCAGGTGAACTTAGGAACGAAGGTGAATCCAGCACTCAAGCCCCTGAAGACAAGGCTGGTTGCTAAAACATCAGTAAACAACTGACATTTCAAGACTTCCTAAGGAGAGGATCCAACCCTCTCAGAGGTGTACTTGGTCTCTTCCCACGAGGAGAAGCCACGTCATTGTTTCCTGAGTCAGGGAGCAGGGCTCCTTCCTGTGGCCACACGTCTCCTCCCTGCTGGCATCTCCAGCTACCACCCACCCAACCACCAAGGATAGCCTGCTTCTTCTCCTAGCACTTCCAGCCTCTGCCAGTCTCAACTTCCTCAGCCTTTTTGTTGTGTTTTATTATGCAAATGATATCTTGGTTGAGGTCGAGCCATTTCTTGTGTCTGAAGTTAAAAAAAAAAATGATAATTTCCTCAGCAAGTCATCGTCGTTAATGAAGTTTTACAAAAACAGATACAACCAAAGGAAAATAAAATTTCACAGGTGATAAATTTTTCCAATTTCCCTGGCAGAATTCGATAGGATTGTTAAATTAAGAGTGAAGGTGTCTGTTAGAAAGCAACGAGCAGTGATGGGTAATTTTATAGAGTGGAAAATTGAATCAAATTGCTACATTAAAACACAGCTCCTCTGAGAATCTTCCCTTTCACAGTCTGCTCCATTGCAACAGCAGGGTGCAGAAATGGATCTAATTCACAACACTCTCTAAACGGAGATGCGCTCCCCAACTTGGCCGGTCTTCCTAGTAAGCTCTCCCTCCGCTCTCCCCTGCTCAGGCTCGGGGAAGTATTCATTCGGGGAGCAACCCACTTTGGGTTGCAGTGGTGGAAGAGTGCTCTGGGAAAACCTCACTGAACTTCTCAGCCTTCTGAGGAGCAAAGAAAGGCCTTTTCATTCACCGTGTTTAGTCCTCAGGAGCTCTGGTAACATAGTGCCTAAGGCACTTGACTGCTAACCAGAAGGTTGGCAGTTCAAACCCACCAGGCACTCCTCAGAAGAAGGTTGGGCAATCTACTTCTGTAGAGGTACTGCCTCGGAAACAGAAGGAGGGATCACTATGAGTCAGAGACGACTGGATGACACATAACAACAACAACAAACATGTTTAGTTCTCATAGAAGCCAGGGCGGGTGCTGGTGCTCAGAGATGCAGAGCAAAAGGATGGTAAAGGGAAAGAGACCACAGAAAATAGCAGAGTGTGGGACCGTCACCTCACCACAGGTGGGAGCAATGTGCGTATGACTGGCTTACCCCCCATCCTCCTGCCGCCTCCTAAACTCCCCTCAAGTCAGTACAGCACTGGAGAAGGGCATCAAAGTTTTCCTCCAAAACTCACACTGGTTTGTATGTGGACCTAAAGGCATGGGGACAAATCTGCTTTCTTAAGGAAAGAAGCCACTGAGCCTGTGTCCACAACAGCTGCCCATTGAAAGTGAAGAAGGTCGCACAGCAGAAGAGCCAGGGCCTCTTTCTGTAAGTTAACAAAATAGTAGCTGCCTTGCCTCTAAGTTTCCAAAGGACAATGCACTACCCAGCCCACAGGCTCTTCCCCAAAAGCTTCTATTCATCACGGCTTTTAGAGAGAGCATTGGAGCTGGGAGATCCTGGCATTTAATTATGATATGAATATTTCAGCCACAAGTTTTTATCACCCAGCTCCCCATCCACTCTGCTCAGCTTGTTGCTTCTGAAATTGCTTTCCATGTTTTGTATGTGCCATACCACAAGTCTTAGAGGAATTGAAGAGAATGTAAGGGCCCTAACATCCCTCCCTTTGCCGCCATCTCACAGTATGCCTACTGGTAGCAACAGGTGAGAGACATCATGGTATCATAGGTTCAAGTGTTGAGTCTAAGTCAGAATCAATCTGCTCTGCCACCTACTAGCTGTGAGAACTTGAGCAAGTTATTTGCCCTCTTTTTATCTGAATTTCCCGCCTGTAAAATGGGAATAATAGTAGTAGCTACCTTAGAAGGGTGCTGTGAGGGACCTAGAATTGATACCTGACAAGCATTTACAATATGCTTAGCATACAATGAGCATTCAGTAAATGCTACTATTAATTTGGTGGTGGTTTAATAGGAAGTGTAACCTTTTTGAGGAGTTGGAGGATGCTTAGAACCCCACCCCTCCCAACCGGACCGGCGACAGTCTAGTTGAACATTTCAACTGCATATAAGAAGCAGGTGAAACTGAAAATCCTGAGCAGATGGAATGTGGAGCGCACCTTCTGCTCAGGCCCATTTTTACTGCGAGACCAGGTGCTGGGTGGAGGGACAGCCGATAGTAACGTTGGATTGTGCTAACATTGCATATCCATCAATAGTCAAATGACTTGGGCTTCTAACAGTTGTTTCATTATAACAGGTAAATGTGCTTTGTGGAGACAATTTAGCATTGCTGGTTCTGCTGACCCTTCCTCTTTGGTATGGGACCTGTATAGGCCCTCCCTGTCTCTTTGAGGAAGGCCATGTAAGTGAGAGACCTCTTCCAGAGTATAATTTAGACAAGCTTCCTAGTAGAGGGAAAAGTGCCTGTAACGCATATCAAATCAATAAAAATATTTTTTTTTCTAATCAAGATAATGTATGGGTCATTCGAATTAAATACACTGAGTCACATTGATCATGGGGTAGTTAGCATCTGTTACGTGGCTAGCCAACCCCCCCCCCCCCATAAGGGGAAACCAGAGCACTTGAGGTTTTCAGCCAGACCATAGAAATTCTAGTCCTGGTTTCAAGGTTGGCATCTGGTGTGATATCTGAACATCCCCATTGAGCATATGGGGGCCCTTGGCTTTTAAGATCTCATTTGCAATAGACTAAACTGCAGAGAACTACTACAAAGAAATGCTAAAGCAATATGGAGGGAATTGGAGGCTTTTCTGAGCCCTTCCTCACCCACCTGAAGTTATTTTACAGGCCAGCACAGGCCCAGTTTCATGATTCAATATTCCATAAAAGGACTACTTTTATCAGGTTTTTCTTTGTCTGGGACCTCGAGACTGGAATCCGGCAAGGCGCCTAACACCACTGAAGAGCTGTAACTAGGGCCTTGCAGCAGCTGCAATGGCAACAGAATCCGGCTGTGTTCTCTAGAGATTCCGGGGAAGCGAAGAGAAAAAGAGATGAAGGTCCCTCCATGGGAATTTTTGTGCACATTCCAGTGCTACCCACATGCCCGGGGGGGAGGGTTACTATAGATCCTGAAACCAGATTGCTGTATAATAAAGCATATAACTGTGGTTTTGTTCTTTGGGTTTATTTGAGTCAAATGGAAATAAGCATTCTGTGGAATTATTTTCTCCCCTGTACAGCTGTCCAGACCCACAAGTGGTCTAAGGAAAAGGAAAAAGAGCAGACATCAAAAATGCAAAGCTTATCAAGAAAGCAATTTCCAATTTCATAGAAAAGCAGTGCTCCATGGAAGGGATATCGTCAGGCCTCCTCTGAGCTACCTGGCCTTTTCTGCCTCTCAGTTCCATGCACACTGGACCCTGGTTGGTTGCTTGGCCAGCCTCTAAAGTGGACTCATGCTATGTCTTCTACCTAGAATACTCTTCCCTTAATCTCAGCCTGTGAAATCCCACACATCTTGCTCAAATGTGCCTCTTCAGTGACACTTTTTCAGATGTTCAGCTGGAATTAAGTTTTGTTTTAGCCTTTACCAGTTATTTGGGTACTTTTTCCTCAAATAGTAGGTGCCTAGTGCCTAAGGAGGGAGCCCTGGTAGCATAGTGCCTAAGGCACTTAACTGTTAACCAGTTAACCAGTTTGAACCGCCAGCCACTCCTCGGAAGAAAGGTTGGGCAATCTACTTCCATAGTGATACTGCCTCGGAAACCCAAGGAGGAGTCGCTGTGAGTCGGGTCTGAACTCAACAGCACATAACAACAGCAACAACACTGCCTCGGAAACCCAAGGAGGGGTCACTGTGAGTCAGGTCCGACTCGACGGCACATAACAACAACAACAATAGCAGCTGCTCTTCAGAAGAGAGATCAGGCAGTCTGTTTCTATAAAGATTTACAGCCTTGGAAACCCAGTGGGGGTCACCATGAGTCAAAATCAACTCCGTGGCAGTGAGTTTGGTTTGGTTTGAAGGAACTCTAATGGCGCTGTGGCTAAGGCATTAGGTTGCTAACCAAAAGGTCAGTGGTTTGAACCCACTAGCCACTCCATGGGAGAAAGATGAGGCTGTCTGCTCCCATAAAAATGTATAGGCTTGGAAACCCTATAGGGGTCACTATGAGTCAGAATCAACTCCATGGCAGTGGGTTGTTTTTTTGTTTTGTTTTTGAATTATTATTTGGAGTCCTTGAATGGTGCAAACAGTTAACATGCTCTGCTGCTACCCAGAAGGCTAGAAGTTCAAGTCCACCCAGAAACGTCTTGGAAGAAAGGCCTGGTGGTCTACTTGTGAAAAATCAACCACTGAAAACCCTGTGGAGCACAGTTCTGCTCTACTGCACAATGGGGTCACCTCGAGCTAGAAGTGACTTTATAGCAACTGGTTACTGATTTAATTAAATCATTTTGGAATTAAATTAGGTACATTTCATGTGTGGCAGTTAGCACAAATGAAGTTTAGTATCTTATACCTCAAAACAGTATCACAGAGAGCTAAATGTAACATGAGTGTCATGTTCATTTTTTTTTCCATGTTGTCTATGGCATCCATGAGATTTGTAACCTAGTTGTGCCATGCCATGGCATGGTGTCCATTTCTGCTTTTCTGCATGTTTCCTTTGCACTTTCAGTCTGTCTTTCTGTATTTCTGTTGCATCTGTCACCAGCGCAGCTTGACATTTGGTTGCACTTTGATATGTTTGGTGTTTTTTAAGCTTTGTCACTTTGCTTTGGGGGAAGGATTTCACCCTCTTTCTGATCTAATCATCTTCAGAATGTGAGTCTCTGCATCAGTTTAGTCGGTGTCAGAGCAGCACTTCAGAAAGGAGCCAGGTGTCATGGGAAGCTGGTTCCTTTCTGTCCCTCCGAGGTAGATTCAATGTCCTCTTCCTCTCAGCCTCTCATTAGTGTCCCTGACACTGTGCCAAGAGTGTTGATTGAAATCGACTCTCCGGATACTGATGCTCATTTGTGATGCCCCATGGTTCTCTTACGTGTTCGCACAGTTAACAGAATCTTCCTCAACGGTTTTCCCAATTGAGATGAGATATTTGGGAATCAAGTAGAGCATTTAATGTAATAAGTGGACAGTAATCTTCAGAGGTTAATTTGTTTAAAACCTATATAAGGTTGGGGTCCCATATGCCCTGTTAGGAGCAAAGACCATTATAATCTATTACTGTTTAAAGTTGAGCTAGCACATAAATTTTAATTCTTTCTTAAATGAAGATAGATCTCAGTGGATGTAATGCTAAAAAAAATGCCTAATAATGTTCTTATGAAGAAGTTCAGCAAGCTCTTTATCCTAAAATAAATATTTTTCAAAATAGTCTATTTAAAATTTAAAATCTCATAGATTAATAATAACGGGGAATTTAATTTTTTAACCCACCCCTTTTGTGAACAAAAACATTTTTTTCTGTCACCATATAATCATTTGTCCTGCCTTTGGAATTTGGAAGGTACCAGTTTGGGTATCTTTCACTGAAGGGTCCAAGGTAAACTGTATTCCTGTCTATCTGTATTGTGCCCTCTGAAGCTTAGAAAGTGCTAGAGAGTACCTCTTTCACAGCCTACTGTGGAAACCAGCGTATGAGCCCTGCTCTGCTTGACGGTACCCCACACTCAATCTTTCCAGAGCCCTAGAGGCAATCTACTTCCGTAGTGATACTGCCTTGGAAACCCAAGGAGGGGTTGCTGTGAGTTGGTCTGACTCAACAGCACATAACAACAACAGAGGCACAGCAGCTGGCTTCTCATCTCAGTAGCAAGGCTTCTTGCCTTGTGCCCACTTCCAGCCACCCGGGAAGGACAAAGTTAGAGGTGGGGACTGCAGCTTCCCAGGGGACATCCCTCACCTCAGAGCTTAGTACTAGTGGCGAATGATATATAAGATCTATGGCCAGTGTTCTGCTCTCTTCCTAGTGACTCTAGAGGAGCAATGGAAATCAGAGTATCTGGTCTGGAATTGAACTGCATAAAACAGATTTTTATTTTTTCCATTTTTGTACATGATGAGATTAAGTACTGTTGCCTGAAAGGATAAAGGAATCAAGTTTTGGTTCTCTTTTTTATCATTGCAAATACATTTACATTCTCCTATTTTACAAATGCAAAGAGCAGGAAAGCCACTTTCAATAATTTATTTTAAAATCAATGCTAATGAGGTTATGTCTTGTCAGTGGCCGAGTTTGACAATAAAGTCTGATTTATTTAGAAAAGATCTTTGGTGTAGCTTCCCATCTAATGGTGGTGGGAAGGAGGTGGAGTAGCAGGCACGGTGACCCTCCAACTTCGGATCCAATTTGTAATTCACAGTGGAGATCTGACCCAATTTACATTGATTAGAATTGGGAGGAAGAGACAGCTGCGCTCAGACAGCAGAGGTAGAATAAACTCTCTGCAAAAGTGCCTAAGCACAGCAAGTTATTGGTCCTTGTGACTGAGTTGTTTGGTGTCAGCAAAAGAGCTGCTCCCTGTCCAAAAGATTGGGTATGTCTGAAAGTGAGGACATACCAACTCTTGTTTTAGTGTTTTCAATCCTGTGAGATTAGCCCCACGTCAAAAAGGAAAAGCACCATAGCAGAGGAAGGAAGGAAGTGGGTAAGTAATGAGAAGACAATGTGCAAAGGATGATGTTTCATGTGATTTATTTCAGCATGATCTATTTCCTGTATTCGATTTCACTCCTCCATTATCCCACAACTTTATTCCTGGGGCTGGGGGTGGGGTGTACTACAGGTGTAAGTAGAAAGTTCTCTGCTGCTAGCTCTTCATGAAGATAAGAGCTGGGTCAGAGAGCTCCATTGCCCACAGCATCTTGTAGGGCAAGTGTACTTTACTTTTTCTTGCTAACAGGTGATTTATTTCCCCAGAGTATGAATCCCTTAATTTTTACTTTTGTGGGGAATGGTATCATTTTTTTTATGTGAAATAATTTACGTCTTCAGTATTCTGTAGTATTCTAACATACTGATACGTTGTTTCTGCTTACCTATGAACTTGGAGTTTACTTGTCCCAGTCTGACACACCAGACCTCATATTACCCTATAAACCTTACATTAAAAAAAAAAAAAAAGGAATGCGCCCAGGCCATCTCCTCAAACGTTCAGTTAAGACATAGCTATGGCAAAGCAAGACAGGCAAGTGCCCTAAGACCCAGAAAGAGAAAGAAAAATAAATGTAGGCAGAAGAAACTGAGCCTTCAGCTCTCCAAATGTGTTTACTGTATACCACATTGACTGTGTAAATGTGTCTGTGTAGAGCGTGATGGGGGGGGGTTGAAGAAGAGTAAGTGCATTTCTGTTCATTTTTTTTCTAAGTATAAATTAGCCGGATGTGGCTCTGGTACTCGTGGTTTCTTTATAAAGGTCCACTTTCCATTTTATCAGGTAACATGAAAACTGAGATAAAACAGGTTAGTGAAGGTAAGAAGTTTAGGCCAATCACATCGTGATTTTTACCATATCACCCTTAGACTGGAGTTAGACAATAACATTGACTTAGAACCCATAATTGTACCTATAGCAATTAATTAAAAGACAATTCCAACTGCCCTCAGGATCTTACACTCTGATGAACAAGGCAGGCCGAATAACAATAGTAAAAAGATAGCTACAAGCCCCAAGTACTAGGAACATAAAATCATGTACACGACTAGCCTCAGCTACAACTGAACGAAGATTGATACATTAAAGGCTAATTAATCACCAAAGTTTAAATATGCACTTCACATAAAACACACACGCACACCCCCTAACTGTGGAGTGCCTAAAACCAGAAAGGATGATTTCATGGAGATAATGAATTTTGAAGAGAAGCTAAGGAGGAGAAAGAGCGTTTGAGTAAAAAGATTAGGAGAGCTTTCTGGTGGTCCAAAAAACAAAACAAAACAAAACAAAAATCATTGCCATTGAGCCGATTCGACTCTTTGGGTTTCTGAGGCAATCGACAGAAGTAGACTCCCCAATCTTCCTTCCGAGGAGTGGCTGGTGGGTTTGAACCGCCAGGCTTCTGGTTAGCGATGAAATGCCTCAGGCACTAGGCAACCGTGTTGTTATGTGCTGTTAGTCCAACCAGACTCATAGGGACCCCTCCTTGGGTTTCTGAGGCGGTATCACTAGGGAAGGAGATTGCCCAACCTTCCTTCCGAGGAGTGGCTGGTGGGTTTGAACCACCACTCTTCTGGTTAGCAGTCAAGTGCCTTAGGGGCTATGCTACCAGAGGCACCTAAATAATCCAGTGGATTAGAAACTCCACAAGGGCAGGGACTCTGCCAGTGTCTGCAACACTTCCTGTTGTCAGTGCCTTGCATATCATAAGCACTTTAAAATGTTTGTGAATAATGAATGGGGAGAGGAGGAGGAAAAGAGGGCCAGTTTGAAGGTGAAAGATGATTACAAAAAATAAAAAACATGATAATTACAATTCTCTGGAAGAAGAGATGGTGATGAGCTCTGCTAGGGCAAGGAGACCCATCAGTATAAAGAACACGAAACTGTCAACACCTAATTGCTAATGGTGATCGTTTTCATCCCCTCAGATGAAGAGCATGATCTGCTTGAGGATGAGGTCGGCGCTCGGCGGAGAGGTAGGAGAGCTGTGTAAGCACAGGTGCTGCTAAGGCAGTTGGGCTTCCACTGCAGAAAACCCTTGCCCCAAGGCTAAAGCGTCACCGAGCCCACCAACTCAGAGGGTTGATGTGTCCACCCCAAAAGTCCCAAAGAAGACAACTGGCTAGGGAATAGCTTCACTTTAAAAGCAGCCACCCATTCACTTTAATTAATGTTCCCAGAAGAGCTCAGATTTATCCTAGAGAGGGAGAAGCCAAACCAGATTATTTGTTTTTTCCTATCAGATTTCTTAAATCAGTTCAGAGAAAATAGAATCGCCTCATCTCTAAGAGATCAGAGGACTGAGAATGGGAGGAATGGAAATGTCTGCTGTCTGAGAGGCCCGGAGATTACAAGTTCAGCGGGGAATGGAAATGTGTCAGATCTGAGAAGTGAACATGGGGTGAAGGATAGAACCACTTGGTGATGCTGACTTCTGATGGCCTGGTTTGATTCCAGGCACATTTAGAAATGAATATGTAACAGGTTTGTTGAATACAGAATTACATCTTATTCATCCCAGACTGTCAGCCGTGCTTCAGGCTGTTAGTGAGCCCATCGTTTCTAGGGTCAGATAACCCCTCTAAAGCTTTCTTAAGTGGTGGAAACCCCACCAAGGGCCTGTCCCTTCCTTGTCAGTGAAGGAATGCTGTGCATTGCAGGGGCCACCTCAAGGACGCTCATTCCATCAGCAGGGCCCAAATCGTGGCCGATTCAGATATTACTGATTGTTGGCCTAGACATTCTGTAAAATCTTAAGCTTATGAGTTCTTTTCTTCCCCCACACCCTCTTTGTTTCTCTGGCCCTACCTTTACCCCTTGTCCTCTCTCCTTCTCGCTTGGGCGTGTTCTTTTCTTCTTTACCATTCACCAAAGCCCCCTTTCCTTGGTTGTCCGTTACAGGAAGTGAATACTTAAAGGTTTAGTGAAGGGCCCAGCTTCCCCCAGCAGAGGGAAAACACAGTGGAGAGGTGGCATCAGAAGTCTTGTGTCAAAGCGAGAGGGAAAGAAAGCAGCCGAGGCAGAGGTGATGCACAAATGGTAGCGCAGCTTCAGGGACTTCATCAGAATTAACACAGACAGTGAAGTCCATTTGGAAGCCTATCCAGGGATCCCGAATCCTTCAGAACACTGTTTTCTACTTGCTGTACAGAATTCCAACAGTAAGTCTGTTTCCTGATCAACCTTTCTCCCACTTATATCTTTTTTCAACCAATTTCCATCACTAGAGCAGGAAAGAAACACTTCATGTGGACAGCTTGAATGGAGTAACTGTAAGATTCCTACGGCTGTTTTCATATAACCTCTGTTCAGGAAGCAACAGACTTCTGGCAGAAGTCTAAAATTCCGTTTCAGACTCCTCCCTCATCTCATTTCCTCCTTCTGCCTCTCTCTCAGGTTCTTTCTGGGGGGTGAGGGAACATTTATTTCTGAACTGTCCCAACAGCTATAACTCACATAGGTTTTTTGTTTTGTTTTGTTGTGTTTAAAAAAAAAAAAAGCAACTTTTGTTCCTCACGCTTCCTGCCTCCAAAATAGGTGGTGGTAAGTATAGCAAGCTCTAAATATGCTTCTATGGTTTATACCTCCCACCAGTTACAGTGATTGGTGACTTCGTGATTAAAAAGCAAAGGAGGGCTTTTCGCGCTCTCTGCAGAATCTGAGGCAGGAATTTTTATTATTTGTGTTTACTTATTTGTTTATTGAATTTATACAGTGCTTTTTCTCCTAAGGAGCTATAGAAACGACAACAAATATGTAACATCCCAATGTCATCACTGAGCTTTATAACAATGAAATATAGGGGTCCAGGAGAGGGGCAGGCAGCCCCATGAAGGGATGTAGAAGACAAGGGCCCTAGGACCGTGGTGAATTCTTAAGTCATAGACAACTTTGATTCACTTCGTTTTTCTCAGGTGTTACACACTTGCTGGGAAAAATTTTTATAAGCAAGTTGTCCTTTCCATCATTTCTTTTCACCTAGAAGATACTATGGCTAGCCATTTCATATATTCATATGGCTCCACCATTCCGTATATCCTATTCCCTGAATTTCCTAATGGAATTGCTAACATTTTTAAGGCCCAACTAGATCTTATCAGAAGAGGGAGGAAAGGAATTCAGTTTATCCTTATTGGGTGTTAACGACCCTATAAGATGTAATTTCTTTTATTTTATCCTGTTACCTAGAAAATCTATCACAGCCTTGTAGTATTGATTGTTCAATCTATAAAGAGCTCAGTTTGCAGCATGACTGTTAGTAACAGGGTTATTTTAATGAGTGACTCTTCAACACCTCAGATTTTCACTAAACTCCAACCATTAGTTTAACACTCTAAAACTACTGAAGGATCTTCGGTGATGAGAGCTGCTTTGCCTTCCTTACCATGAAAAGGTAACAACCAGATAACCAAAAATAAAACTCACTCTGTGATGTTTACATTAAAATTATTTGCCATTTGCTTGGTTGTGTCATGTCGAATAAAAAGCAGTCTGGAGGCATCCTTGGATAGGTCAAATCCCTGACCAAGGAAGATCTTAAGACAGGTTATTTTTGCTCTGAAACTGTTGGCATACTCAGCCAACAAGGACTCCAAGTTTTTATGTTGTTGTTGTTGTTATGTGCCGTCGAGTCGGCCCCGACTCATAGCGACCCCTCCTTGGGTTTCTGAGGCAGTATCACTACGGAAGTAGGATTGCCCAACCTTCCTTCCGAGGAGTGGCTGGTGGGTTTGAACCGCCAGCCGTCTGGTTAGCAGGCAAGTGTCTTAGCCACTATGCTACCAGAGCTCCAAGTTTTTATAGAGGGCAGAAAATGGTCACTTATGAGCATTACAAGGAGCTCTGGTGGCTCAGTGCCTAGTGCATTTGACTGCTAACCAGAGGGTTGCAGTTCAAACCCACCAGCTGTTCTGTGGATGGAAGATGGGCAATCTGCTTGCATCAAGATTTACTGCCTTGGAAACCCAACGGGGTTTGCTGTGAGTCAGAATCAACTCAATGGCAGTGGGTTTGGTTTTTTTATGAGCATTACATCTCCAGGGTACTCTTCACCTTAAACCAGTTGCTGTTGAGTCAGCTCCAACTCATGGCAATCCTTTGTGCATCAGAGTAGAACTGTGCTCCATAGGGCTTTCCACGGCTGATTTTTTGGAAGTAAATTGCCAGATCTCTCTTCCAAGGTGTATCTAGGTGAACTCAAACCTCCAACCTTTTAGATAGCCGTCAAGTACAACCCCAGGACTCCTTTCTACCTTAGTGCCACCAATGCTGCGAATTATTACACTAAAAAAGCAGAGGGAAGCCAAACACTGGTTGATCATCAGCTAAATTTTGGCCCAATAAAAGGAGCAAATGAGATGACAATCAGTATCTCTGAATGTTCCTCACTTCATGTTATAACAATAAAGACCACAGTAACTTCGAAAGTCAAAATGAAAGGACCATAAAAACAAGCAAGTAGCATTGTTCAGTTGCTCTTCTTGCTCTGGTGTCCCTAGTAAGTGGAGCTTGGTGACTTTTTTCATACCTTTCCTTCTGAAAGAGTTCATGAGATAGTGTCAGCTTTAATGGGCTGAACATTTCAAGTCCCTTTCAGTAGGGCCACTACTTTGGCCTTCTTTGTCCAAGTCTCAGCACACCATGTTCTGGTATGACTGGCTTTATCTGTCTTCTCATTTTGTTTCTCTTTCCCATAACTGTTTAAGTGGTTGTACCCAGTGCCAGGCCTCGTTGGCACAGCTCTTTCACTCATCAAGAAAATGATAAACAACCTGCTGTCCTACCTTTAGCCTCTTTTTTCTGGTCACAGCTTGAATTCTGGAACTCAGCCTCCCCCAAACAAAAGCCCAAGGTGACATATGACACATATGTGTCAAAAAGAACACAGGTTGTATTCTCCTTTTTACATTAGAACTCTGCACATCATAGAGGCTAATTTTCAAATATTGACTCTGTCAACAGTAGCACCAGCTTGGCCTCAGTTCCAGGAGAAATGACTATCACCGGTTATAAAGAACTTGACATGAAATGACAGTGCTGTCCGATAAATACCTAGAAAAGAAAGAAAACAGTACTTTTTTTAACTTGGTCTGTTGCTATTCTTCCTAGGGATTTTATTTGCTTGGAGCTTAGCTTCTCTCACATGAGATAAAGAAACAATAAGGTGCTGCCCCTTTTTTTCTATAGAAAAAGTCCTTTTCAGCTCTACTAGCAATTTAAATGCAGTGATCATACCCATTAGCTTCTCTATCATTGTAATTGTTGTTAATTGTTATAACTGTTTTAGTTATTAGTGGTGTCATTATTGCTCTAGGTCCTCTGTCTGTTTTATGCTGAATATATTAGTACTTTGCTTTTGAATTACCAGGCTTTATTTAGTGCAGAGTTACGTTTTTTGGAGAGACATTGAGAAATGCTGGCATTAAGCTTTATTCTTTTGTTTTTCATTCCAAATGGACAGACTGGAAAAAAAAATAATTAGATGGAATAATGTCCTCCAAATGAGAATGAGGATGTTTTTGAATTAATTAAATGGTCAGAATGCTGCACCATTTCTGATCTCAGACTGCTGCCAGAGAAGTGTAAACCTAAAGAACCTAAGCCTAGCTCACAGATGCCAGCCTTTCTCGGACTCTCCATTCCTCTCACTGCTCTATAGCACGCTCATAGGATGAGCCGGGCAAGTTTAAGGGAGTAGCTGGACTGGCCCTATAGACTTCTGGGCCTTCAAGCTCTCACTAGGGGCCTTCAAGCTCTCTCTTGGGGCCAAACTTCAGGAATAAAGGCCCCCTCAGCCTTACCTCGGGAGCTCTGGTAGCGTAGTGCCAAAGGCACTTGACTGCTAACCAGAAGGCTGGCGGTTCAAACCCACCAGCCACTGCTTGGAAGGAAGGGTGGGCAATCTACTTCTGTAGTCATACTGCCTTGGAAACCCAAAGAGGGGTCACTATGAGTTGGGTCTGACTTGAAGGCACATAACAAAAACAACAGCCTTACCTCTTCCCCTCTTCCAGGCCTTCAAATAACACCCACTCAGCCAGGTTTTTGTTACGCAGGTAGAGTTTCAGAGAACCCTTCCCCAACTCCTCAGACTAGGTTAGACACCCTATTATTCACAGCATCCTCAACTTCTTGACAGACATCTTGCAATCCTAAATAAATAAATGTTTATATAACTATTTGTTCCATAACTGTCTTCCTACTGGATAGTAACCCCTGTGGGCAGGGACCCTGTCTGGCTCACTGCATCATCCCCAGTGTCTAGCACAGTCTCTGACACTTCGTAGGTACTAGGTACGTATTTGTTGACTGCCAAGGAATGAATTTAGTAAAGCTGTATGTATACCTACCCATAAATGCAAATCCCACATGTTAGACAAGAGTCTTGTCCAGCTAAGGAATTACTCCCTCATTTCCCCAATACCAGAATGCCTCCATTGACATAACCAGGTGTAGCCTTTTCTGTGTCTAGACCTTCATTCTGCTTATTTGTTAGAACTGTCTTCTTGTTATTCTGGTTCTCATCACCTATGTGTGTAAGGCTAGGCTAAACTCACTCCCGGATTCCTGAGTTTTGGGCCCATAGCTTCTTAACAACAACAACAAGCTTCTGAAGAACTGAAGGTCTTTTTCTGTCTTCATTTTCTCCTAGAAAAGGCATCAGGTTTTCTTCCTAGCTTCTTGCCTTCTTTTTTATGTTTTTAGAACAAGCTGTTTCCAGCTGCTCTCCCCAGTTTCCTTGTCTACCCAGTAGCAGATCACTTTTCACATGTATGCCCAGAACGTATCCATAATCATAGGAGCTAGCCCACAGCCAGACACATTATGGCGGCAATAGTGCAGTGACTATCTGATTGCTCAGATAACTTTGTCAGTCTTCTTACTGTTCAAAAATACCAAATTATGTTCAAAAAATCTATTTTTATAGTCATTTCCTATGCCATAGAAATCTATGAAGAACCATAAATCCATGAAGAATATTGCTGTCAGTATATTTTTTATTCTTTAATTCAGTCAAAATCTTGAGAAGATTAATCAACTGCATTATAACTGAAAGTGCATTAATATATCCTTCAGGAAAACTACTTTGACTTTTCAGGGACTCATTTTTCTATTATTTCATAGACTGGTATTCCAAAAAATTTATGCTTAGTCTTTTCAATAGTTAACATTTTTCTCACAATGTCTTTTTTTCCAGACATTTTCTTACTGTGGCAGAATGTTTTCTCTGTACTCTCCTTGTCTGCTGCCCTCCATTGTCTACTGCATATACAAACAATCTTCTGTGTAAAGAAAACATGCTCAAGTTTCTGTGTGGTTGGCATTTTCATTTCTGTTTGCAATATCCGAGTTTTAACTATATTAACTCCATCTCTCCTGTTTTTATGCCCTTTAAGATTCCCTACTAAAGGTCTTAAAGTTTCCAGAGACACATAGGGATTTTTTTTTCCCCTATGCCTTTATCCAGTCACTCCTCGGAAGGAAGGTTGGACAATCTACTTCCATAGTGATACCTCCTCAGAAACGCAAGGAGGGGTAGCTATGAGTCAAGTCCGACTCAACGGCACATAAAAACAACAACAACATGCCTTTATTGTTTGAACTGCTTATAAGTTAGGAAGAGAAACGAGTAGAAAAAAAGGCAAATATAGCCAAGGCCTCTGTTCCCTCACTGTCCCCCTACCTCCCATCTATCCCCATTCTCAGCAGTCAGTACCATCACCGCTCACAAGAGCATCAAGACAAAGGAAGGGAAAGGGGGAAACTCATAAAATACAGTCCCCCAAAATCATTTGAATTTCTATTAGAATGCAGGGTTCCTGACTCCCATCAACAGGGATTTTATCTTTGGTAGGGTGTCTGTTTACAGCTCTCATACGGAGCATTCAGAGGAACAGGGAGCCTGCCATGTTATCACTGGCCTAGGGGGCCTTAGCTCTCCTGCCATTCAGATCCCCAGACCCTCTCCCACTTGGTATCTAGTGTTTAACCTTTCCGGGTAGAAGAAGATCAATACAGATTCTTCATTGTTAAGAATCGATGGCTGTCCTGTGGCATCATTGCCATCTAGTCTTGCTGAGAAGCCCAGTAAATCTCTCCAGCTGCTTCTAAAGCTCGGTTTGTCGTCTTCAGTTGCTTTCATTTTTAATGCAGATCACTTTGGTTTCTGTTCCCTGGGGGCTTGCAGATAAATCTTGGCAGACATGTTCAGGGTCTACAAATGAGATGCTGGAAAAGGGCCAGCCCACCCCGAATTTAGTTGTAATGGATGAGACACCCCCTTGGTTCCACTTAAAGACGGGGTCATTCGTTTCAATATTTATTGGTGATTAGATCATACAGTACCTGGGTGGGAAGGACGCAGGAGGAAGTTCCTACATAACAGAGGAGGCCAAGATGCAAGGCTGCAATGCGGAAGCTGGCTGACTCAGCCTCCTTTGTAAGTAAGCAGAAGTCTGAGACTTACTTCGTTCCTTCAAGTGTGTAATGAGAAGTACTGGGGAGCTGAGATTTCCTGGATCAAGAAAGTCTGGCAGGAAACCTCTTTGAGCTACTTATTTACAAACCAAGTGAAAAACTCCCTGCCGGATTTTCTTTTATTAATAAATAAGTATATTTATCATATTATTGAATAGCATCCTAGTGGGGTGATCTGTAAATATTTAATATTAGTCAATGATCTTCTTCTGCCAGTCTTTACTGAAGCTGAGTTTTGGGCTATATCTCATCCCGACTCCCCTGAATCACAGGTTTCCTGGGGGCAATATCAGAACCCTGGTTTCCATTTGTAGCAAACATGTGGGCTCCTTGGGAAAGTCACAGTCCTTTTCATTTTGATTTCTCTTCTCTTTGATCAGTGGACTATGCCAGTTATTACCAGGGCCTATGGGATTGCCATGGTGACCAGCCAGATGAACTCTCCTTCCAGCGGGGTGACCTCATCCGAATTCTGAGCAAGGTAAGGACATAGAATGTGGGACTGGATCAAAAGTCAGTTTTTTCACTCTTGATAATACAGTCACCATAATGAGCCCTATTTCATACATTTCACTTGTATGTGTTACATGGCTTCCTCAAACATAAATTCCTGTTAATTGAGAAATATGTAGAACAAAATCACAATCATAAAAAAGACCAGTCTTACTGGTTGGATAGAAACTGGCTGAACCCCTGAGACTATGGCCCTTGGTCACCCTTCAGACCTGGAACTGGACTCACTTTCATAGCTCAGTTTTCAGTCAAACAATAGACAGGTTTACAAGGTGAACAATAACTCTAGACAGGTACACACTCCTTAGAACCACCATTCAAGATCAAAAGGGCAGCATTTGCCCAAGGACAAAGTTCAGAAGGCAGAAGGGTTAGGAAAATGGAAAATACAGAGGAAGTGGGAGGAGTGTTGTTACATTGAGAGGATTCCAACCAATGACATGAAGCAAAATGAGCGTGAATTGTTGAATGGAGAACTGATATGCTCTGTAAACTTTCACCCAAATCACAAAAGTTAAATACATACACACACACACACACACACACACATATGTTTATAAGGAAGGTTGGGCAATCCTACTTCCGTAGTGATACTGCCTCGGAAACCCAAGGAGGGGTCGCTATGAGTCGGGGCCGACTCGACGGCAAACAACAACA